AAATGATGATGATGATGAAAGGTGTGTTTAACAATCTTGAAAAGTTTTTTCGTACAAATGGCAAATATAAAGGAAAGAAATTATATAGGAAAGCGTTTGTAATGATCGAGTAATAATGGGTCAGAGAGGGGAACGAGGAATGGGAGAAAGAAAAGTAAATATTAAACGGGGAAACGCGAAGCCGACGAGGTCAGTACGAGCTCGAGCAGTTTCGATAACAGTGTAAATACGAAGGTTCGGAAATATACTTTTATTAATATATTATTTCATCGTGAAATAATATACGCGTATGTAAAATAGTGTTTGTAACGATGTATCATCGATTCTGAAACAGAGGACGGATCATTTACAATTTATTCGAGTTATAACGATCGAGAAGAATTTTACTTTGCGATATATTTTACCATTATGATTCGATCAATTGAAAAATTCGCGTGCAAAGTGATTCTTCTCTCTTTCAAAACATTGTATTACCATTAAAATTTATATCTCTCTTACATACATATACATATATATATTAGAAAAACTAACAATATATACAAATTATATATTTAACAACTTCTGCGAATCTTTTGCTTGAACGAGATGAGACGGTCGGCCGATAAGATGGAGAAAATTCATCGGTGTCGAGATATCGAAAGATATAAATAAATTTAAAAGAACAAACGCGTTCTAATAAATAATTTAAACCAGCTATTAAACTCGAAATAATCCACAACACCATTCGATGCTTCCACGAGGGAAAAATAAGAGAAGTCTAATACCGTCTTAATCACGAGGATCGCGTTGGACAGCTCGGAGACCTGTTTCGCGTCAGGAATCGACCGTTCACGCGTACAAAGTCGGGCGAGGAGAAGAGATAATCCTGTTGGATTCCATCGGACACGTCGTTTCGTCGGGAACGAGAACAATTCGAGTTGGCTGGGTTGGGGTTGGAACGCGTTGCGTAAGAGATTGGATGCATCCGGAGGATTCCGTTATGGTTATCGATATTAATCCTTGGGCGCCGAGAGAGGGCGCCACCGATAGGGAAATTAAATTTGAATTCGAGTAATCGAGTAACCCGGCCGGCCAACGCCGCGAGGATAATTAATTTTAACCGGTTTTTAGCATCGCCCGAAATTTTGATATTCCTTGCCGTTGAGTTGATACGATTTAAAGCGGAATATCGCAATGGGGATATATCGCAAATTGAATTATTCGAAATTTGCGTTTTATATGCATGTATATGATATATATAACGGGGAGGATATTAAAATGTATTACGCGCGAATGGGTGAAATTGGATATACGTGTTTACAGCTGTTATTATATATAGATATGTATCGATTCGAACAATTTTCGCGTTTTGATCGGGCGAATTTTCCCTTCTTCGTTGCTTGATTAAGACAATTATTATTCTTATTCGAATAGAATTTTCCAAGAATTTATAATTTCTTTCTTATAATCTATCCGATAAGATTGAAAGAAAAACGGGCGGACAGAGGGAGAAGAATAACACGAATTACAGGATGCGAACAATGATGTAAAATAAGTTTACGAAGGGGGCCCTTTACTTCACTTTGCCATCCTTTGAGATAAAAATCTCTCGCGTTCCGCGAAAGAAGATTATCCCGACCCTGAGATCGATCCCTCCCTTCTCTTTCATTCTATCCTCTTCTTGGAACGAAAAAAAAAAAAAGAGAATTCTTCCTTTCTCTCCTTCCATCCAGCCAAATATCGTACACGATTACGACGCGTTCCCCTTTTCTCGAGCTATTACAGATTTTTGATCTTGGCGAATATGTCGAAAATATGTCTCAAATATGTCATGTTGCCATTTCGATCGTTGTAATTTCAATGCTTGCTTTATCCTTCCATTCGAATTCTCGATGAATAAATTGAAAAAGTGAAACGTTTATTCGTAGCCATTATAATCGATCCGTTTTTCGTATAACCACGTCCAATACGATATTATTCGCGATTATTATTATATTCTGAACGAATATGAATCATCGAATTTTCTATATATATATATATCTCGAAAAAACTTTTCAACAAATTTTTTCTCAAAGCTCTTTCTACACACACACACACACACATATATATATATAAAACGTGTTCCAAAAATCGGTAAAATCCACAAACGCGTCATCGATAATTTTATTTTTCTTTCTTCTTCTTCCTCTTCTTCCTGTCCACCGATATATTTTCTTAGGGTCGCGAGCAGAGCTGGGGGAATTACTCCGCCTAGATCCGATACACGCGCGAGGGAGGGGGCTCGTATATAATAATACAGGTCGTGATCGTTTCCCCGGGCAACATTAATAGTACTTATCTTCCGTACAGCGCACAGTATACGTGGTAATTATCGTCCAATCTTGGAAGGACCGCCACGACTCTCCACGATACATAACTCTTAGCCTTAGCTTCGCTACTTGAACGCGCGCGTTTCGTCCGTTTTCTCCACCAATCCTCCCCTTTCCTTCTTCTCTCGTTTCTTTTTTCTCGCGATGGAAAGCACTCAAAAAAGCGTATCTCTTTCTTCTTTTTCTCTAAATAAGACAGATTTTTATTATCTCACTCTCATTATCCAGGATAATTCTCGAGAAGGAAAATTTATTCGTTTGTTTTGGGCGATTATTTATCTGCTTTTTCGTTTTCGAGGTGTTGTGGTGGAGAGATGCCTCACCTCCCCTTGGAAGGAACGGGGCGAGATTTAAATTTAATTTAACGCTTTCACGTGTAGCGTCACGATAACGAAGCTGCACCGCACTGACAACCGATTATAATAATAATCGCGAGGTGGAGGGGATGCGTTCGAGGTATTTCGAGAAGAGAGCTGTAAAGCCGAGATTAACCCGTCAACGTGGCCGCCTCCAACGTTGATTTGGTTGGCCCAATCCCTTCGATACGGTTGTAATTTAAGAGTTTGGGGGAGGTGAACTCGAGGCCGGTTAACAGGGATAATTAAATGTACACTCGTCTCCGGGTGTAATTGATATTTCGAGCAGATAGTGAACGCCCCCGCTCCCCCTTTCGGGATCGAAAGATCGAGATCGAATCGTTCGATAACTTTCCACTCTTCTTTAATTCTCCTTTCTTTCTTTCTTTTTTCTTTTTTTTCATTCATTATTGTAATAGGGGGAGATTATAATCGTTGAAGAAATTAAGAATTTTGAAATTGGAACGTGGAAGAACGTGAACGATCTAAATCTTGGAGTCGTGCTTTTTCTTTTTAATAAATAAGTTCAATTTCGAGACACCCTTTTTTATCGCCTTCGTCTTCCAATTTAAGAAAATAATACTTTTATCCGCTTATTGGATAGTTGGAAAGCGTGTCGAATCGTATTCGTATATATATATATATATAAATAAAACGTAAAAGAGCTGTTATCAGTTAAATAAAAAGAAGCACGCGAAATTTGTAAAGAGCGTTAGAATGTCGGATATCCGTTTACACATTCGAGAAAGTTTCGAGCCGGTACAAATCATTCCGGCCAAAATGGTGTACATTAGCCGAACAGTATTTGTTATCCTTTCCTCAAACTCGAAAACTTCTTCGAAAAACTGTCTTATTAGGCAGGTAGAAAAGGAGAAAAAAATTAGAAAGCCTCCCTCCTCGCTTGACTAGCTTTTTTGCCGGAATATTCCCAAAGAGAGATGGCTGGAACAATGATGGCAACAATAAGAGTTACAACGGTCGTCGAGGCCAAGGTAAGCAGAGAGTGGATGGGCTGGTTGCTTGTTTAGGACGGAAGTCTGTCGAGCAAACGTCTTCGTCACGGCGTTTCCTTAAAAGTCGTTTGAAATTACTGACCAATCGTCTGTTTGGACGGTGGCGTAAACGAGACGGTTGGCCAGAAAACGAAGGCGTCTTATATTTGAAAAAAGAAAAGAAAAAGAAAGAAAGCGCCATAAGCGGAGTGGAAGGCTTGAAAGTCATTCTCTTTTGCCACGGTCGAATAAATAATAATTTAATGGTGAAACATTGGCTGCCGGATGCGACGTAAATGGTTAATAAGTAATTATGTTGGACACGTGCGTGAAAATGGTTTGGGAAATAATATATAAATTAGATAGACCGGTATTTCCTTCCTTTTCCCTTTCGAACGATAATAATCACACGATGAATTTTATTGGTTTACTCGACCGCTCGGAGGAGTAGTAAATAAATAGATGAAAAAAAAGTGGGATACATTTCTTTTTTCCCCATTTTTATTTAACGAAATAAGATTCTTTCGAAAAATATAAATTGGAATCTGGATGGGGAGGAAATATTCGAAAATTGAGAAATATATAAAATAGTATTGTAATCACGTACGAGATATATGACGTATTAATTGTTATTGTTTTAGTTTTATGACCCTTTTTTTTTATTATTATTATTATTATTTTCGAAAGCACAGAAATTTTTGCACGCCTCGTTTCGATACAACGTAATTTAAATCAGTATTATTCGCGATGCCACGATCATTGAGTAATTACGATACCAATCGGAGTTCATCGTCGATATATTTTCACTCGTTAAAAATTACTACACTCGACGATCGAAATTATCGTAGAATTTCTGCAAATTCATGGAAAAATTATTCGTGGCAATTAGCCACGGTATTTTTATTAAATCCTTTCGCCCGTTTTTCGAAAAAAAAAAAAAAA